CATCTCTTTATCTTTGTAGGAGTGACTGTGCAGCTAGATATGTGTGCATGAGAGAGAGTGGATAGGGTCTAGAGGCCCTTCCTGACTTCCTGACCATGCCAACAGCCAGTCCGTTAGGCCCCTTGCCCTCTAAATCCCTTATGTCCCATAATGTCACACAAAGGCCTCCTAGACTGACCTTTCCTTCTTTCTCCAGATAGATCTAAAGGAACAGGGACAGCTCTTGCATCGGGACCCTTTTACTGTCATCTGTGGCCGGAAAAAGTGCCTCCGTCATGTCTTTCTCTTTGAGGACCTGCTCTTGTTCAGCAAGTTCAAGGGTTCTGAAGGAGGATCCGAGACCTTTGTTTACAAGCAGGCTTTCAAGGTATACCACATGGAGTGGGGGATATTGAGTCATGTCCTTCCTGAGAACTCAGAATGCTCTGTAAGTTCAATCTCAAACCAGGCTCATAATCTTGATCACCTAAAATAGGTTTTGGCCTTTCTAGTCATCACTTTTAGGGTGTCAGAAGGTGAAAGAAATCCCTGTCGTTGGCGAACCCCTTTGAGTTTGCCGAGTGGCGGTGGTGCATGCCTTTAATCCCAGCATTTGGGAGGCGGATCTCTGAGTGAGGCCAGCTTGCTCTACAGAGTGAGTTCCAGGACAGCCAGGGCTACACAGAGAACCCCTGGCTAGGAAAAAAAAAATACACATGTCTTTTGAATTGGTCCCTGGTATATGAGGAAAAGGACACCACACACACACACACACACACACACACCTCTTAATTTCACTGAACTAAATAGAACTCAAGAGGCAGGCCTTGCTTCAGGTATCTAGCCAAATAAACATTCATAGCAACCCATGGTCCTGGATTAGGCCAGGTGAGATGATAAAGGGTTTCCAACAGTCCTTGTATTAGTGCTATCTCTTAAAAGGTAGGACAGAGGAAAAAGGTCTGAGTTTGGAATAGCATAGACATGCTAATACTACACTCTGGAGAATGTTGCTTCATGTCTCTGAGTGAGCTTCACTTTCCCCTCTGTAAATTAGGCCTGTTAAGCAGTGTAGTCTGCCTGGTATCTGACAAATGTTGAGCAAATGTATACTGAACATCGATCAAGCTAAACATAGAACCTGCCAGTGCAGTGCCCCCTAATGAGGGACACCTCCATCCTCACAACCCAGTCTCTTCTGCCCTTCCTCAGACTGCTGACATGGGGCTGACAGAAAACATTGGGGACAGTGGACTCTGTTTCGAACTGTGGTTTCGGCGACGGCGTGCACGAGAAGCATACACTTTGCAGGCTACTTCACCAGAGACCAAACTCAAGTGGACAAGTTCTATTGCCCAGCTGCTGTGGAGACAGGCAGCCCACAACAAGGGTAACGGGGAGGTCACAGGGATGTTCTGCTTAGAATCAGAGTTACAGGAGAAGGTTTTCTGGAGAGTGTGGAGATGGCTTGGGAAACTATATAGGAGGTAGAAAAAGACACTGTAAGAAAAGATTCACCCAGATGGTGGTGGCACACACCTTTAATCCCAACACTCGGGAGGCAGAAGCAGGTGAATCTCTGAGTTCAGGTGATAGCCTGGTCTACAGAATGAGTTCCAGGATAGCCTGGGCTACACAGAGAAACTGTTTTTAAAAACCAAAGAGAGAAAAGGCAGATTCAAAGTTAGGTTTAAAGGATATTACTAAAACAGAAATTAACTATGAGGAAAGAGAAAGCTAGAAATTTCCAAGGAACAAGAACAAATGTCTCCACAAAAGAGGTACAGAACTGCACAGTGGACTGGGGTCTAAGAACTGCTGTCCCTTACTTACTGTGTGACCTGGACTAATTATCTTTCTTTCCTTTGTTGTTGGTTACTACTGGGTTTCAATTTGGATTTTTTGTTGTGATTCTCTGAATCAGTCTATTCATCTGAAAAATGCACAGTACTTTCATCAGCTTCATGTGATAAAGACTGAGTAGACTGATACACACGGAAGCGCTCTATAAACCACGGAGACAGGCAAAACCACACGTTTGTTCTTAATGTCCATGATAAAGGGAAGCTGTTGTTCCATGTAAAGTCAGGGGCTGGGAAGAAGGCTCACTGGGTAAAAGTAGTTGTCATTTGAGTGTGAAGACCTGTGATCGAGTCCCCAAAGCCCACATAAAAGTCGGCAGTACTGCAGGTGTAGTAACAGGAACAACAGGAGGCTAAGGCAGGAATTTCCTCCAGAAGCTTGCTAGACAGGCATGCACACCAAAATGACTAAGAGGGTCAGCCATAAAACTATGTAGAAAAGGAGGATCAACCAACACTTAACGGGTCCTCTAAACACACACACACATCAGGTAGTTAGGGATGGGCAGGATGAAATATATAGGAGAGAGCAGATGTATGTCTAAAAGAGGTGAAAGGTTACTATCACAGTCCATGCCTTGGTAGTCAAGGAAGGTGTAATACCAAAAGAAAGAAGAGAGGTGTGAGAGTTGGGAAGGAGACTGGAGAGTGAACGGGGTTGTACTGACACTAAGGGTGGATGGCCAAGAGAAAATAACAAACAGGGTCTCTGTTCCCCAGAGCTCCGAGTGCAGCAGATGGTTTCCATGGGCATTGGGAATAAACCTTTCCTGGACATTAAAGCCCTTGGAGAACGGACACTGAGTGCCCTGCTCACTGGAAGAGGTGAGGTCCAGGGCGCTGGGGGGCGTTCCCTGAAGTCAGACCTTGGTACAAACAACGGGGAGATGTCAGGAAGGATACTGAGGTGCTGAGTGAGCATCTCTTCCCAAAATGTGGGACTCCCTGGGAAGCCCTCTGTGAACTGTTCCACGGAGCCAGGAGGACTTTTCCACACCAGCACTCCACCACCCCAACTCCCCACTCTCTGCAGCCGCCCGCACCCGGGCCTCCGTAGCCGTGTCATCCTTTGAGCATGCTGGCCCGTCCCTTCCCGGCCTCTCACCGGGAGCCTGCTCCCTGCCTGCCCGCGTCGAGGAGGAGGCCTGGGATCTGGACGTCAAGCAGATTTCCCTGGGTGAGGCACCTCTCAAGGGGTGGCCCCCAACCGCTGGGTCATGGTGATGTTCAGGCTGCCTATTGCTGAGCAATTCCTTTTTCTAGCCAAGTAGCCCGGTTGCCATGACAACTACATACAGCTTCCCCATTGCTAAACGAGCCTTCCGTCTGGTTGCTAGGGAGATGCTTACAGCAGCCTTTTGCTAAGAAGCACTTCTTCTGTACCTTTCTCTCTAGCTCTCCTTGAGTTTCTATGGAAACTGCCTCAGCTTCCTGTTGTAGCCTCCTGGTTCACCACGGCAATTCTTAGTTTCCTGTCGCTTCTTCCCTGGTTGCTCTAATGATGCTGCTGACAGTTTCCTGCCTCTTGGTAGGGGGGGTTCTCTCGCAACTGGATTGCTATGGTGACTCACAGCTTCCTGTTGCTATGGAGCTTTTTCTTCCTTGCCAGAGGAGCTTGGTTAAGGTAATATCGAAGGGTTTTATACCTATTCTCACCCTAGCTTCCCCTCCAGCCTCAGAAACACTTGACTCTTCTGGAGATGTGTCCCCAGGACCAAGAAACAGCCCCAGCCTGCAGTCCCCCAACTCTGGGAGCAATACTCCCGCTCTGACCAGTGGAGGGATCCTAGGGCTATCCCGGCAGGTGAGTCCCGTCAGTAAGACTGGGAGCAGGTGGTCTCTGTCTGGATGGGCTTCTCTGATCATTTGACAAACCGAGTAGTAGAGGAAGCAAATAGTAAACTCTCAGCTAATGCTCAGATTGGAGTTGTTATCCAGTCTGCCTTTCTCCTCTCCCCTAGGCCTGGCTGAGAGGCATCAAGGTCAGAGGTCAAAAAGAATCTTGAGGAGCAGGGAGAGACACACACAATAGAGACCATATCTAAACACACTGCAATTTCTGTGTCCTCAGAGTCATCCCCGAGCCCTGAGTGACCCCACCACGCCTCTGTGAGCTAGGTGAGTCAACACCCCTCTTTCCCACAGCCAACATCCCTTCCCTTATTTTAAGGACCTTCCATCCTGACCTCGGGTGCTTGAAGTCAGCTTCTTGCCTCTCCCAACCCGTCTCCCTCTTCTCTCCTGGCTTCCAGAGAAAATCCAGATCTGCAGCCCCTTCTCAGTTTTTGGCTGGGATGGCAATGGGACAACAATGGAGGACCTAAGCTCTCAGTTCCCTCCCCCTGCTTCCTGGACAGAGAGGAGGGCAGGGACCAGAGCTTCTCCTGCCACCACTGTCTAGCTCTCCCCTGCTTGGTGCCTTTTGCTGCAGGAACCAGAGTGGCCTGTTCCCTTGCCTTTATGCCCTGGGGACGGGGAAACGGCTCTCGCTGTGCTACCGCACACCCCCAGGACACTCTCTGACTGCCCACTACTCTTCTCATCCCATCTATCCCAGAAGATTCATCTCTGCCAGGTCGAATGGAATTCCATTCTGGGAATCGTGGGATATGAAGTGTTCTAAGCCATTGAAGGAGATGGGGTGGGCACTGCAGACTTTATATGTAATTACTGTTATTATACTATTGTTACATTAAATGTATTTACTCTCACTTTGACTCCCAGGAGCCAGTGCAGGCCTCTGGATTAAGGTGTTTGAACTGACTTCAGTACTCTCCTATAACCACTAAGTAGGACTCAGAAGATAAAACCAAGGCCACAAAGTAGCTGTTTCCCTCCTTGCTGGCCCAACACTGACAGTCTGTGAGTGTGGGAGAATGCCTCCCCCTCACAGGCTCTAGGACACTTGATGAACTCTGAAGTTCCTCCTCCATTTTACACCCACATCTTGAGGCTTAGATGGTCAGATGGGTCCAGCACAATGCAGCAGTTATTTAGTGATGTCCTCGGGCCACAGTGCAAGAAAACCTGAGGCTATGTATTACACATGCTAATTCTCAGGACCCCATGCAGCGTTGCTGAATCAAAGTTGTGCATCCATATCAAGCTCGTTGACACTGAAGTACCCAGGAAGAGTGAAACACAGGCAGACACACAGGGCCTTGTGCCTCAAGACACCTGTTTATTGGGGACATGACTCTTCAACAGGGATGACAGGAATCGTACCAAAAATAGCAACGTCTACAGGGCCCCTGATAGGGCTAGAAGGGTACAGTGGCCCCCACCCCCACCCCTTATACAAAAATAAACTCTCATGCCTATGGACCAGCAGAAACTGGCAGAGTGGCTCCTCAGCAGGAACACGGCCTCCACCAGCCCTAGGACCCCGTTCTTTGACCCTCACCTCTGCCACTTCTAAGGCACTGTGACTCCTCTGGGCTGGGTGGCTACTGCTTGCCCATTCTCCTTCACCCACTGCCCGCTTTACCTCTTGGTCCACCTTGGGCTGGGATACGGGTCCCACACTGCTCCCTGCTGGCTGCTCTACCCAACTACCTCTAGCACTTCCCCGCTCCTGCGGGGTAAGCTTACTAAGCTAATCACTCCTAAGAGGGCTCCCTACCGTTCTTGCCCCCCAAGACCTGCCTCTCCGGATCTAGACAGCCCTGGGCTGCCCTCCTCTTCTAGTGGAGGACTGGGAGGGGTCTCTCCTGATGGTGCCCGGACATAGGGTGGAGACGTGTCAGCTCGGGGCTGCCGGCGGCCCCGAGCACGACGGCTGTGGTGTACTTGCAGATGCAAGGCCATGAGCTCAGGAGCTCCAGTGGCAAAGGGGCAGAAGAGGCAGCGGTGAAGGGCACCCCCTGACCCGGCCTCACCTCCCGGGCCTGCCCGTAGGGACAGGTCCAAGGGTTCGGCCTCACCACCTCGCCCGTTGCGCAGGGTCCTCCCAGGGCTGGCAGGCTTCCTACGGGACCCTGGTCCGGTGCTGCTCGAAGGAGGCCGGGTACTTGCAGTGCCCTCTACCCAGGTGGCAGAGGCCTGAGTTGGCTTGGCTCCTGACTGCGGCTGCAGTGAGCCCCGCTGGGAAGGCGGTGGGGGCTCTGGAGGTGGCCCAGGACCCGCACTGCTCCTCTGCTCTCGGTGGTGACGCTGAAGATGATACTTGAGCGAGCCAGACTGGGTACCTGCATAGTCGCAGTGTGGACACTTGTAGGGACGCTCACCTGGGAAGAGTGGGTTAGAGTAGGTCACGGGGTCACTGTCACTTTGCACACCCACACTAGTATTTTGCTCCGTTTACAAACTTCATCCCAAAGACCAGGAGCAAATGCTGACTCCCCACGAGGTGATCTAGATGATCTTTCCTGGCCAGTCTGAGAGGTGGCCAGCATGACCTCCAGCCTTCTGGTTGCTCTTACCTTTCTTCCTCCTAGACCCTCCCCTATGCAGAAAGCCTCCCTCACCTGTGTGCACTCGAAGATGCACTTTTAGGTGATGCGCCGAGCGGAACGATTTTCCACAGAAGGGGCAGTCCTTGCCAGTGGCCCCACGGCCCGCTTCAGATCGTGTCCCTCCAACCAGCAGCCCGTTTTCTTCTGCAAGACGTTAAAAGGAAATTATAAGGTCTCGCTGCCTTGTCCCGGCCAGGTATCCATTATACCCACCATCCCTTTGGGCCCAAGGGGAAAGAGGTTTGGGGGAACAAAGATTTATTAGAGTTAATACCCTTAGGAAACCACAAAGCTTCCAGTAGGAAAAGGGGGCAGGAGGGGACAGAAGCCCAGGAGAAATCGAAGCAGGTTTTCTGAAAAGGAGTGTTGGACAAAGTTTCCAGAACCAAATGCCACCAACCCCCCAGAGAAAACAGTGTGTACATACCTTGGGTGGCTGTAGATCTTGCCTGGGCCCCCGCGGCAGGTGCAGGCTGTCCTGATCCCTCACCTGGGTTGGGGTGCAGGGAAGTCAGAGAGCCCAGCGACCTGCCTCGGGCCCAGCTCTCCTCTTCCGCCTCCACCACTTCTTCTTCCTCTTCTGGTTCCTCTGTACGGTGTCGCCGAGCCCGGTTGGGAAGAGCCGAAGGCAGTGGGCGGAATCCTCCATAGCTTCGGCCACCTCCAGGGTCAGCACCCTCACCATTGGGTCGTACTTCCCCAGCTCGTACACTCAGGTAGCCTAAGAGGCTTGGGGGCTCTCGGCGCTCAGCCGGAGTGGGTGCTGGGGCCAGGAGGAGCGCAGGGCCCAGTGGCTCATAAGCCAGTAGGCTCAGGTCAGGAGGCTGAGGGGCTCTGGCAGGCGCAGAGCCAGGGCCTGGAGCACGCAAAGGACCCAGCTTGCTGGTGTGCACCTTCATGTGGTTCTTAAGGAACCAGGGCTCCTTGAAGCAGCGACCACATACGGGGCACGCATGATCAAAGGAGGCCTTGTGCTTGCGCATGTGACCCTTGAGAAACCAGGACTGTGTAAAGCTCTGGCCGCACACCTGGCAACGGAACTCAGGTGGCGCAGGGGGCTCCTCCGGAGGGGCAGGAGTTGGAGCAGGGTTTGCCTCACGTTCAGGCTCTGGCCTAGGTTCAGGCTCAGACTCAGGCTCAAGGGCAGATCTGGGTTCTTGCTGGGGTGGAGGCTGGGGTTCAGGAGTAGAAGTAGCCGCCAGGGGGCGCTCGGAAGCCCCGTGGGCCGTCAGACTATGGTGCAGCAACTCCTCCTCCTGGCTAGAGCCAAAACTGCACAGGCTGCACTTCCAGGGCCTGTGCAGGATGTGCAGGTGGCGTTCCCGCTCCGCTGAGGTGCGAAACTTGCCTTTGCAGAAAGGGCAACGGAAGGCAGATGAGGAAGGAACCTGAGGGCGAGCCAGGCCCTCTGCAGCAGGGCTGGACTGCATGGCCCCTGAGCTTCTGGCTCTCCCGAGTCGGGCTTCACGAAGCAGGGCGCGTTCCTCCAACTCCAGCAACAGCCGTGCAGCAGGGCTGCGTGGACGCTCCGGCTGGTGCGTTCGGAGATGTGAGCGCAGCAGAGCCCGCTGCGCTGCGCGGTGGCCGCAATGTGGGCACTGGAAGGCTTGGGCGCCCGGGTGGGCTCTCAGGTGCAAAGCCAGGATGGAATTGAATCGGAAGCGCTTTCCGCACACAGGACACGGGAAGCGCCGTTCGCCTGCACGAGTCTCAGACCAGCCCACTGCTCCCATCCCAGGCGACCCGGGTCCTGGAGTCCCGCTGACACCTGGTCCGTTGGAGTAGCGCTGCAGATCCAGCTCGCCGTCGAAGGCTGGTGGGGAAGGCTCTAGGTGGCCGACCAGGATGCGGGGACGTGAGCCCTGTGGGGAAAGATGCACGTGGAGGACAGGGTGGAAAAGGTCGATTTGTAGAAAACGCAAAGGCATCAAGGGGACGAAGGATAAATAGAAGAGTGTATATGTAGACTGGGAGGTTGGAGCCTGACCTAGGTACACTGGTGCTTCTCGCCTACAGAAATTGTGGGATGAGTGGAAGTTAGACACTGGGGCCAAGTAAATAACCTATGTTACTATAATAGGAAGTTAAAAAAAAAAAAAGGAGGCAGGAGAGGGTGTGCCGTTGAAGATACTCAGGTCAAGGACAGAACTTCACTCACCTCCATGGACCCCTTTCACATTCTTTGGTTCTGAGGATTGGAAGGAGGAGGAAGAAAAGCTGCTAATGAAGGCAACAGGTGCGGAGGTGCTAAAACAAGACAGAGTGATTGGAGGAACGATGAGCCCTGGCTTTCAGCAGTAAAGTCACCCCACTTAGCAGCCTGTATTCTTGAAACCCACCCCTTCTACCTACTGTAATCTTGGGGTATCACATGCTTCCTATTTGCTGTCCTCAAAACTTGCATCCCTTGATCTACCAACTTGTATGATAAATCCAGACTTCCTCCCCCAAGTGATGTTTTAAACACCTCATCCAGAACCCCCATCACCACACACACACACACACACACGCACACGCGCACACACACACACAGGAGCGCACACACAATGTGGGAGGCCATCATAGTATACCCCTCTTCCACTCGCGCTGGGCTGTGCCCCTGGATAAACAAATGTGGAGGGCTAGCCATACTCCTGTTATCCAAATGGCACTAGCTCCTCTCAGACCCAGGGCCAGCCAGCCAGAATCCCTCCAGGTTCCTCCTCCTTGCTTCTGCCGGCACCCAGTCTTCTGGTCTTTCCTCCTCCCCCTCCCCCTTCCTGGATTCCTGATCCATTCATTTCCATTCATTACAGAGACTCATTCATGCATGGGAGAGAAACACCTCCCAGCAGCAGAGTCTGGAGACAGAGGGGGAGGGGCATGGAGGGAGAGCCAGCTACAGAGGGAATGAAGAGAGTTGGGGGAGGCCTGGAAGTTAAGGGGCACTACCAGCCTAGGGAAGGGGTTAAAAACTGCAAGTCCCATTTAGGTTTCACCCCGGTTCAAACCTTGGAGCCTGTGGTTTGACGGGGCATCTCAGCCCCTTTGTCCAGAGCTGTTCCGAAGCAGGCTTTCCTCCTCTCTGCAGGGGAGAGGCTTCCTCACACAAGAGGAGGATTACACTGGCTCTGAGCTCAAGAGGCTGGAGTGAGGGATGGGGGGCGGGGCCTTGCCATCTGCACAGATAGGAGATCCACACAAGCTCTGAGCAGGAAAGGGTTAAAATTCTCCATCTAAAATTCCCTATCCCTGACAAGTGCTGCACAGGGCTGGGAAGGAGAGAGTTGAGGAAGGGGATGGTAACGGGAGGTCTGCCTGCTAAGAAGGTCATGGAATTTAGGCTTCAGTGGATGACCACAAGTCATCCTACCTTCCTCCTTCCATATAGAATTGTATCTTGTTCAGGTAGATGAACTTGGGCCTAGCTTCTTTTTTTAAACATCAGACACAATACTCTATAAAGAACTTCCTTACAATGAGAATTATGAAACTGAAATGGGTTACTAACAAAAAGGAGGACTCAAGCATTACTTTACTTACAAATTTTTAAATGAAGAGAACTGGGCCAGGAGTTAGCCCTGCTTATCAGCAAAGAAAACACTGGGGGTCCAAAGCTTCTTAAATTTTCAACGTTTAGTGGATGTGGCAAGACTTTATGAAGGGGCAAACACCTGTCACATGCAGACTCTGACTTTTGAGAGCCAAAATTAACAAGATGTCCTGCTCAAACATCAGCAGGAAACCACTGCCACTTAATGTGTGTGTTTCTCTGGGTCCAAATTCAGGCATCCTTTCCTGGCCTGTAGGTTACTGGGACCAAGAGTCTGATCAGGTTCAATGACAACTGCATAAAGGTGTTAGAATAGAACTAAGGAGTACAGGCTATTGCAAGCCTAGGCCTTACAACCTTCAGTAACCAGCTATCCTCTCAGTTTACCTTCTGTGAAATGAGTTATACTGAATTTACATTTATAGTCCCTGCCAACTTAAAAGTTGTGTGGTTTTAAGTCACAGGTCTCTTCTGGCCCCCAAGAGATGCTAAAACAAATGGCCATTCCTTCAGTACCATGGAGAGTGCAGTGGGCTACTAGAGATGGACCTCTGGCTACCTCAGTACCACAGATAGAGCTAGGAAGTGGTAGAGAGCCCACGTTGCCCATTTTAGAACCAGAGAGGACACAGAAACTACTGGATTTATATATATATATATTCATATTCATAAACTACACAGGGGTTTCAGAGAAACTATGGAGGGGTATCTACCAGAGGAATTACTGTGGCCTTTCGAATGTCATTGAAAATAAAAAATACACACACCTAAAATTTTTTAATTAGCTTTACAGAATGTCACAACAGTTACAGTTTGTACATCCTGGAATGAGTTACTGAGGCATCGTATTTGAGTCCATCACATTCTGTTGCTTTCCTGGGGATTCCCGGAACATCCTGGTGTACAGCCAATCTGGTATATTCAGAGGAAGCAGATGGCTGGGAGGGGTGTGTGTGAATACTGCATGGTCATAGCTGACTAACCTATGGGCACATATTCTGATTCTGAGAAGATTCTAGGGCCTCTAAAATTGCCTGTAAAACACTAAGCAAAATGTGTCCTAGGAAAATGGCCTAATATCTGAGGCAAAAGGAGGAGGAAAAAGGCCAGGCTTCCTCACCCGAACGAGAACCCCCGCACTTCCACATGTAGCAGTTTCCAGGACGGAGTGCAGAAACACATAAGAAGGCACAAATGGAAGATGAATTTCTCCTCAGGGAAGTTCCCCAGAAGGTGGCCTAAAATCAATAAAATCCACCGAGACCTCCTAGGCCCAGTCAAGATGGCTTCCGTCATCTCTGTATCAAACCAGGTCTCGTGCACCAGAGCTCATAAACTGCTCTCAATAAGGGAGTACTAGCAGAGACGGAGTCTGTGACCTGGTTTGGAACCTAAGTCAGACATGTATTGTCTGTGGACAATCCTCACATTTTTCTATAGTCAAGGCTTAAACACCACCCCTGAGCCTTGGCCAAAGAGTGGCACTGACCTACTTTCCACACACAGTGGGAATCAAGGGTTATCTTGTTCCTGTTTGTATTTTGCAGGGATGCAAGACCAGTGTTACAAATTAGAAATATTTCCAAAGCAACAGGCCAATTACTTTTACATACTAGGAGAGCCGATGCAGAGGTGGTGTGGACCACCAAATCTTACGGAGGATGAATGGGTGGTGAAAAGATTTACGAAAGAATCCGCTAAATAAAGGACCAAGAAGACTGCCCCTCTCCAGCCCAAATCTTGTGATTCGAAGATTTTTAAGGACAAGTATTCAGTAGCAAAAGATCAGGGTCTCTAGGGCCTAGCAGTAATTAGGCCTGTCTCTGGTCATCCCCAACACATGATTTTTTCCCTCTTGTTGGCAATCTCCCCTCTCCTAAATCAGCTAACAAGTATGAACCTCAGCGCTAGAGGAGAGTAAATAGAAAGGGGCTTATTAGACAGCCCAGAGTCAAGACCACCTGCAGAACACACACAAGAGAACGACTCACTTGTACGGTCGCTCCATGGCTCTCGGAACCTGAGAGCTGTTTCAAAGCCACAGTACACCGAACCTACACTTTGTAGAAAGAGTTCTTGGGGAGAAAGGACTGGAGGGGGGTGGGGCACGGGGGCAACATGAAATTTCAGTCATTGGCTCCCAAATAACGATGAAGAGGTGAGAGGGAGGTACAATACACACACACACACACACACACACACACACTCACACGCAATCTTATCCCAGATCCATGTTCTAGCATGTCCTAACTTGACCCCATTCTGAAAGTTCTCAGGAGCCTGGGATGGGGGGGGGGGGCGGTAAAGAGGGCATATATACAGGCTTAAGTCTCTTTAACTAGGGCTGGCCCTAAAAAAAAGTCAGTGTTAGTGGCAGTATGAGCCTCAGTTCTCAGGCTGGGAGGTGGGCAAGAGATCTTCTGGGAAAATACCCCTCTCAAAAACTGGTAGGCAAGCAGAGCAGGACCTGTGCTCTCACACGAGGGACTCCACCAGCACACCTCACACTCCACCCGTGGAAAATAATCCAGGAGGATAATGGGGGCAGGGTTGGAAGACAGGGAGGCCAGAGCTCAGCTACCCCGGGCCAGGAGAACAAAAGCAGAGTTACAGCCGCCTCCGCGGCTGCCGCGGGCCGAGCTCTTTGTGACACTTTGTTTGGGACACAGAGAGAAGCACCCCCATCCTCTCCCCGCCCGCCCCCCCCGTGCCCTGCCGGTCCCCAAGAGTTAGGGCTCCTTCCCCCACCCCCACCCGCTGCACCTGGGCTGGGGCGCACCTCCACTGTGCTCACCGCTCTCCCACCGCTCACCCCCAGGCCCCCTGCACCCCAGGCCGCGGCGCCCGGCCTCACGGCCCCTACAAAGCCGCGCGCCCCCGCCCCGCGCCGAGGCCCTCCCCTCCGTGCGGGGATCCCGACTCCCCCACCTGGCCCCCTCCCCCGGACACCCCCCCAACTCTCAC